TGTGGATGAATGTATCACACTAAACACTGTGGATGACTGTATCACACTAAACACTGTGGATGACTGTATCACACTAAACACTGTGGATGACTGTATCACACTAAACACTGCGGATGACTGTATCACTCTAAACACTGTGGATGACTGTATCACTCTAAACACTGTGGATGACTGTATCACTCTAAACACTGTGGACGACTGTATCACTCTAAACACTGTGGATGACTGTATCACGCTAACACTGTGGATGACTGTATCACACTAAACACTGTGGATGACTGTATCACTCTAAACACTGTGGATGACTGTATCACTCTAAACACTGTGGATGACTGTATCACTCTAAACACTGTGGATGACTGTATCACACTAAACACTGTGGATGACTGTATCACTCTAAACACTGTGGATGACTGTATCACACTAAACACTGTGGATGAATGTATCACACTAAACACTGTGGATGACTGTATCACACTAACACTGTGAATGACTGTATCACACTAACACTGTGGATGACTGTATCACTCTAAACACTGTGGATGACTGTATCACACTAAACACTGCGGATGACTGTATCACTCTAAACACTGTGGATGACTGTATCACACTAACACTGTGGATGACTGTATCACACTAAACACTGCGGATGACTGTATCACTCTAAACACTGTGGATGACTGTATCACTCTAAACACTGTGGATGACTGTATCACACTAACACTGTGGATGAATGTATCACTCTAAACACTGTGGATGACTGTATGACACTAAACACTGTGGATGACTGTATCACACTAAACACTGTGGATGACTGTATCACTCTAAACACTGTGGATGACTGTATGACACTAAACACTGTGGATGAATGTATCACTCTAAACACTGTGGATGACTGTATGACACTAACACTGTGGATGACTGTATCACTCTAAACACTGTGGATGACTGTATCACTCTAAACACTGTGGATGACTGTATCACACTAAACACTGTGGATGACTGTATCACACTAAACACTGTGGATGACTGTATCACACTAAACACTGTGGATGACTGTATCACACTAAACACTGTGGATGACTGTATCACTCTAAACACTGTGGATGACTGTATGACACTAAACACTGCGGATGACTGTATCACTCTAAACACTGTGGATGACTGTATCACACTAACACTGTGGATGACTGTATCACTCTAAACACTGTGGATGAATGTATCACACTAACACTATAGATGACTGTATCACACTAAACACTGTGGATGACTGTATCACACTAACACTGTGGATGACTGTATCACTCTAAACACTGTGGATGACTGTATGACTCTAAACACTGTGGATGACTGTATCACACTAAACACTGTGGATGACTGTATCACACTAAACACTGTGGATGACTGTATCACACTAAACACTGTGGATGACTGTATCACACTAAACACTGTGGATGACTGTATCACACTAAACACTGTGGATGACTGTATCACACTAAACACTGTGGATGACTGTATCACACTAACACTGTGGATGAATGTATCACTCTAAACACTGTGGATGACTGTATCACTCTAAACACTGTGGATGACTGTATCACACTAAACACTGTGGATGACTGTATCACACTAAACACTGTGGATGACTGTATCACACTAAACACTGTGGATGACTGTATCACACTAAACACTGTGGATGACTGTATCACACTAAACACTGTGGATGACTGTATCACACTAAACACTGTGGATGACTGTATCACACTAAACACTGTGGATGACTGTATCACACTAACACTGTGGATGAATGTATCACTCTAAACACTGTGGATGACTGTATCACTCTAAACACTGTGGATGACTGTATCACGCTAACACTGTGGCTGACTGTATCACACTGAACACTGTGGATGACTGTATCACGCTAACACTGTGTGGCTGACTGTATCACACTGAACACTGGGTCGACAGAGTCTGCTGTGGAACCAGAAGTTACAGGAGGAATTTTATTTACTTGCTAGTAGTGATGAGCAAAGCAGTCACAGTAATAAAAAGAAAGAAAGAACCGGGAATCATGGGACTTGCTCCACATTTTTATCCAAGGAGCAGACAGACACTAGCTATCTGCTAAGAAGGTCTGCATAGTTAACTAGAAAAATATAATGATGTAATTCACTGATTAGATTCCCTATGTCCAGCTCCTTCAACATAATTGACAAATTTCTTAACTGGATTTAGCATGCAGCTTTAACACAGACTGTAATACTTGCCCATTATAGTCCCCTAATACTTACTACGAATAATTTGCCTGAATCACAGGTTGCTTTGGGAGAAATTGTGTTCCAGTTGTAGACGGAAGGAAGACAGCATGGCTTGGGAACTGACTGAGGCTTTATACATTAGGCCGAGGCTGCACCCCAGCCCAGGAGGGCTCTCCCTCCCAGCAGTGGCAGTGGAGAGGGGGTGGGGCCGGGAGGAAGAGCTTTTCTCAGTGCCCTGCAGCTAGAAAGCAGCAGGAGAGCTGCGATCAGACCCCAGATGTCTGACAAATGCTATCTGTGTTCCACTCCACCAGAAACAGAGAGCCAGCGGCCTCTGCGGAAGGTAAAGCCTCCTTCCTGCTTTCTCTCTAGACTCCTCACTTCCTCCCACATCTCTGTGTAAGTTAACTCTCCAATACTAATGATGAAGAAAGAAACCTGACAAATAACCGCCTTGGTTCTCTTGGTTTGGGCTTGCGTTAAGTTTGCTGATTGACACCTCTCAGGCAGGAGTGAGTGACACCTTTCAGGCAGAAGAGGTCCCCAAGGGGACCCAGCCTAGAGCGCTTAGTGTGCAGGCAGGGGGAGGTAGGCACGAGACTGACAGCCTGGCTGAGCCCCACTAATGGTGCCAGTGAATCATCGGGCAGTCTGTTGTGGCTTCTAGCTCACCCTAGACTGCAGTGCAGACTTCTGCAGTGCGTCTCCAGCACCCTCTACTGTTCTGTGACTGCCACTAGACTGGCTTGTGACAGAGCCAGCAGGCCACAAAGTCAACCTTCCAAGGTGACACTGCCTCTTCCCCCCTGATGCAGATGGCAGTTTTACTTGGCTTTTATTACCTAACCATGCACTATATAATACATAGGCATGCATCACACACACACACACACACACACACACACGCACACACACACGCGTGTAATGTATAACATCCAGCATATGCTCTATTACCTAAGGAATGAGAAAAGATGCATGCCGTTTCCGTTTGCCTTCCTTCACATAATGCTTTGAGTAGGCTCTTCTGAGTGTCAGGCACACCTTCGTGAGAACTGTATGATGCTGTTTATCGATTTCCTGGAGCTGTGAGCTGGGGTATAAGGGTTCCTCTTTCCCTACATTCTCACCAGTATTTGCTGTTTGTCCCTTTGCTTGGGATGGATGGAATCTGACTACAGGTTTTGTTTGCACGTTCCTGAGGGCTACAGACAGTAAGTATTTCTTCATAGACTTACAGGCCACTTGTTTTTCCTTTGAGAACTCATTATTTATTTGATTCATCATTTATTGATTTTTTTGTTGTTGTTGTTTCTTGTTCTTCATTCTAGGCACTAATCCCAAGCCAAAAGCACAGCTGACAATTTCTCTCCCGCCCTGCATGCTGTCTCTTCACTCTGCGGTTTGAGTTTAGGACTGTGTGCCGTCCCATTTGCCAGACCTTGATCTTACTTGCTGAGCTACTGGAGTCCTTTCTTCGAGTCACTACTTTGTGCAGTCACGCGGGCTGATGTGCTGCCAGCAAGGCCTTGCCTGTGTCTAGATCTTGGAAGTATTCTCCCTGTGTTTGCTGGCTACAGTTCCATCGGATCTTAAGGGCACTGGTCCACTTTGAATCCCTTTCTGTACAGGATAAGAGGAAAGAGCTCTAGCTTCGTTCTTGTGTGGTTAGCTGGTTTTGCCTAGCACCTAGCAATGTTGAAGAGAACATACTCCAATGTAACGTTCTTGGCACTGCTGTCAATCATATGGCTGTAAGCATACCGGTTTGTTTCTACATCCTCTATTTGACTCCATTGGTCTACATGTCTGTTTTATCACCGTCCTTTTTTGTCCCAGTAGCTCTGTAATAAAACCTGAAGTCAGAAACCATGCTACCTCCACCACTGCTCTTTCCTTTTAGGTGGCTTTGACGGTCCAGATCAGCGGATCTCAACCTTCCTAATGCTGCGACCCTTTAATACAGTTCCTCATGTTGTGGTGACCCCAACCATAGAATGATTTCATTGCTACTTCATAACTGTAATTTTGCTACTGTTATGAAAAATAATGTAAATGTCTGATATGCAGGATATCAAGTATGTAACTCCCAAAGGGATGGTGACCCACAGGATGGGAAACATTGGTTTAGGGTACTTTTGTTCTCTTTCAGGATTGTTTTTCTATTTCTGTGAAGACACTCATTGGGCTTTTGTTTAGGATTGCACTGAATGTGTGGCTTGCTTTCAGGAATACAGCGATTTTCACAATACTAATTCAGCTGGTTAACTGGAGTCACAATATTCTTAACTAGAAACACTTGTGCCCGTCCCTTTGGCCATCAGAATACTGAGACAATGGACACCAAGGAATCCCGAAGTCTTGTGCTAAGGACAGGAAAGGTTGGCACTCTAGTTTTAGCCAGAGAGGAAGCTTGTCTCCCGCAAAGAGACGTCACATACTATGCTGACCACCTGCAGGACAGACCAGGGGCCAGGAGCCAAAACTACAAAGTGTCAGTGACCGGCCAGTGACGGATATGACCACACCTGACCAGGACTGTTTAGTCACCCATGCCTCCTGCTCCCTATTTAAACCTAAACCTCATGTCAGGACACCGACAACTTATTAAGATAGAAACAGGAAAAGAACATTTAGAGTTTATAATAGAAGAGTGACTTCTGAGGAAATGTCTTACATGTGGATCTTCAATGTTTAGTGCCTTGATGCATCAGGGTCTAATTTAAATGACAACTAGGGAACTGTGATATACTGCCTTTATTGTTAGATCATTTCTCCAGAATAAAAAGAATACCAACAAAAAAGCAAATAATAAAAGTTTTACAGAATTCTCTTTTTAAGAATTAACCTACATAGTTAGCACAATTATATTATGCTAATAAAATATTTATTTTAAAAACTCTAAGCAAAATCCCTGTCATTTCATTAATTTCAAAACACAGATCACAGGGTTGGATGGCTCAGCAGTTAAGAGCAATTTCTCAAAATCCATATGACAACTCACAACCATGTATCACTCTAGTCCCAGGGATCTGGCACACTCTCCTGGCCTCTGTGGGCACCAGACACACACATGGTACACAGACATACACAGGCAAAACTCATAAACATGTAAGAAAATAAATAAATCATTAAATGGCAGATTATTTCATTAGTCCTTCATTGGAATGCTGCCTGTGTCCTCCTCTGACCTCAGAGAAAGTCCCGGGCTCCACATCCTACATGAATCAGGACAGAAGTCTAGCAGGGAGAAATCCTGTTGCAATGGGTAGCTGTTTTCATCCAACTCAAAACGGCTCTGAATCTTCAACACACAAGGCTCTGCACTGACTGCCAGCAAGGCGTGGAGCAAGTCCGCTGCGACCATGCCGTAGGTGACTTCCGAGGAAGGTACTGAGGGAAAGCAAACACACATGCTCAGGACCCGTGCAACATCACAGAAACCCACGCCGAAGGCCTTCCTGGCTTCCCTTGGTTATCCATCTCACAGTCCTGCTCACACCTCTCCCTCTAGATTCAGTTGTTGAAAGTAGTCTAGGAAGGTGTGGTGGTCCCCACTGAGCAGGAAAGGCAGGCACAGACAATGCTCAGACTGACAGCAGCTCCAGCCATCAGCTCCTGAACAGAGTGAAGACCGAGGTGTGTTCTGGCCTGAAGCAAGAACCGCATGTCCCTGGGCTTTGGTGGTTAGGAGCACTTGATCTTGAAGAGCACCTGGGTTTAATTTCCTGCACCCACATGGCAGCTCACAGCCATCCCTAAGTCCAGTTCTAGGGGATCCAATGTCCTCTTCTGGTCTCTTCTGGTCTACAGACATGCAGGTGAACAAAACACTCATACATATAAAATAACTTTTAAAAAGAAGGGCATGTCCATATATGAAAAAGCCTTATACTCATATTTCTTCAGTTCTCAATCACAGTTTTAAGTACATACACAACCTGAGCCTCTCTGAACCAAAGCCTTAGGGACCAGAAGGTTTTTGGATGTCAGACTTTTTAAAATGTATATTCATTATGAGGTATCTTAGAGATACGACTCAAATCTAAACATGAAATTCACTGTTTCCTATTTTTGGATTAGATGCTCAGTCTATTATTAATCAGAAGAGCAACTCACTATTACAAAACTAAGAAAATGAAGGACTAGCTCAGCTTGTCCACTTGAGGAGGCTGAGGCTGACGAGGACAGGCGTGGAGCATGGTCACCTGACAGGTGGGATGTGTTTGCTTTCTCCTTAGTCCCTGGCTGTCCCTGGCGTCACAGCTGGGGATCTCAGAGGATCTCAAAACTCCATTCCAATGAAGATTACTTTCATGCACGGTGCCACACATTCACTTGCTTAACCATTAAGAGACCAGGAGCCTGGTGTCTCCTGACCGATTGGGAGCTAGGCTAAAGAGATTAGGAGCTTTCTTCCTTTATTCACGTACGAAGACAGACGCAGAGATCTTACCTTCCAACTCAAGTGAGCTTCTGTGTTTCACTCAAACTAAACTGTCTTTCTGCTTTCACAGGGACAGGAAAAAGCTTTATTTACAGCATAGCACTCTCTCTGCCCCGACTACTTCTATGGCCAGTTTCACAGAACAACTGCTTGGTGGTGTGCTGCTATCTTACCTATCACTCTGCTGAGGCAATCTGGAGAGATGCCGAGAAGAATCCGCTCCACCATCTTTGACCCCACATGAACACAAGCACTATGTCTTCCATCAACGATGGTCATTAAGGCCGGCCTACGAAAAATAAACAACAGAGTGTAGAATCAGATTCCTGAATAGAAAGGAATTTAGTGAAGTAAAAACAAAACAGGACTGCAGACTTCACCCACATAATTCCAGGTCGTTTATCTTTATACCCCAGCTGCTCTCTGTCTAACTCTGCCTCTGTCTGTCTGTCTGTCTGCCTCTGTCTCTTGTTTGCTCTTATTATCTCTCTTGCTCTCTTCTTTCCTTCCAGTCTTCATCTCAACAAATACAAACCGAGTCTCTACTATAAGTCATGGGCTGTGCTAAGTGCTGGTTTACACTCATGACAAGACAAATCTGGTTCCTTCATCCAAGGACCTTGGGAATTTTAGAAGAAAGGGGATTTTGTTTTGTTTGCTTGCTTGGGTGTTTTGTTTTATTTTGTTGTTGCTACTGTTCTGGTTGGTTGGCTGGTTGGTTGGATGGAATTTGGGTCTTATTGATTAGGAGATACGTATCCAACCCAGAGCTCATGCATGGTGGTCAAATGCTGCACTACTAACCCTTACTCTAACTCCAAGATTAGATTTTTTTCTAGCAATGCTACCAAGATGACTCACTGTGGGACAGAATAACATTTTCAATAAACCATGCTAGACACATATGCAGGAAAAACAGTACAGTTGAAAATCATGTTAAGTAAAAGAGGCCAGATTCAGAAAGACAAATGCCACATATTTTATTATATATGGAGAACCTGTGTTAAAATCCTATATATCCTATACATATAATTGCCTATACTATATATACTACAGATAAGATTTTAAATATTATATTTATTTATTTTTAAGATTTATCTATTCTGCCTGCATGTGCTCCTACATGCCAGAAGAGGGCACCAGATCTCATTACAGATGGTTGTGAGCCACCATGAGGTTGCTGGGAATTGAACTCAGGACCTCTGGAGGAGCAGTCGGTGCTCTTGACCTCTGATCCGTCTCTCCAGCTTAGATGCTATGTTTATAAAAGCAGAAGAGAGCACTGACTGGATGAAGAAAGGGAGTCAGCTAGAACTGCATGAGACACATGGGGAAAGGATCGAATGAGAACAAAGTATAATGATGCAAACACATGAAGAAGCCACAGTGAAACCCACTGCTTTGTCTACCAACCTAAAACTAATAAAACATTTTTAAAAAGTTATGCTAGAAGACATATATATGAATATGTAAAAGAGTAAATTGGACTTCTTCTTTATACCACATACAGAAGTCAATACAGGGCAAATTACAAATCTAAATATTTTAAACAGCTACAACTATTAAGACCTTGAGAGAAAATACAGATGTAAATATCCATGATCTTGACTTAATAAAGGCACCAAAAACTCAAGCAACAGAAATTAAAACAAGAGAGTTAATGCAGTATCAAGAATGTGAAGAGAGTGTGACGCCCACATTGCTTCCTAGTAAGATGTAAGATTGCACAACTGGCCGGGCGGTGGTGGCACACGCCTTTAATCCCAGCACTCGGGAGGCAGAGGCAGGCGGATCTCTGTGAGATGGCCTCCAAAACAATACAGAGAAACCCTGTCTCGTAAAAACAAAAACCAAAAACAAAAAAAAAGATTGCACAACTGCTTTGGAAAACAGCTTGGACAAGCCTTAAGTGTCTAACACACACAATACAGCAAATATAGTCCCGGGTATATACCCAAATTAATGAAAAGTAGGTCTACATAAAAACATGTACACACATGTTCATAGCAGCCCCAAGGAAGAAACAACTCTAACGTTCATCAACTTATGAATGGATGAATAATATAGGATACACATACAGTAGAATATTACTTTGCAATAAGAACAAAGTACTATGCTAAGGATGTATCTCAGTTAGTATGCTTGCCTAGCATACACAAATCCTAGCTTTAATCCTCAAAACCACAGAAACCAGGCACAGTGATGCACACCTATAGTCCCAGAACTTGGGAAACAGAGGCAAGAGGATCAGAAGTTAAAGTCATTGAGTCTCAGTTACATAGCAAGTTCAAGGCAAATCTGGGATACATGAAACTGTCAAAACAAAACAAAAATCTGAAGATCCCACAGCAGCCATTGAGGTAATCTGGGTGAGGAAAAGTCAAGAGTCATAAAGGACCCCTGTGATCAGGTCAAGGAGAACAAGAATAAGGATTAGGCCTCTGGTCTCTGAGCCACTTGATGGAACTGCTCAGACAAGATCCAATGCCAGAACCCAGTGTGTGTGTTGGCAGGAGAAGCAGCAATGGACCGTGCTATGGACAATGACAGGGCTCCCTAGAACATGGCCCAGTTCTCTGGCAGAACCCAGTGTGTGTGTTGGAAGGAGAAGTAGCAATGGAACGTGCTATGGACAGTGACAGGGCTCCCTAGAACATGGCCCAGCTCTCTGGCAGCCATGTTTAGAAAACTGCCTTTGCTTACTTTATTGCAGTTGGCAAGAAAGACCAAGAGGACCAGAGAAAACAACTCTAAGAACCAAGAGTATAAGCAGTCGAGGAACAAAGTCAAGACAGATGAGAAGTGGATTGTTCCCAAGACAAAGAAGAAAAGGAATCCATCTGAACTCAGCCAGCATGGCTTCAGAAAGCCTTGAACACACTGAGACACGCATCTGCTGGAATCACTGAAAGTCTTCCACATACTGGGTAAGAAGAGCGAGAAGAAAACTGGAATCTCTTCCTCTCAGACTGAGAAACCAACAGCACCAAAGAACTCCAGCCATCCCCAACCATCAAACACCACCTAAGGGTAAAGGTTCCAAGAAAACCCCAGGCAAAGAAACACAGACACCAGAGAGTGGTGCTGAAAAGCAGTGTCCATCTCTATCCCAGTATGAGCTGCCCCCACACGCAAAGTTCAAGTTAGAACCTTTGCCTCTCCCACCCCTGGACGAGCCTCAAGCATTGCCTGTATCTCAAAGGCCACTGTCCCTAGTTTCATGAAAACCCACAGCAGCTTATTTTACCTGGCAGCATTCTAAGCCACGGTCAATCCATCTCAACCAGCTCTAGCCAACTCATTTTTAGTGTTGATCCCACCAAATTTCAACCAGTGCCACCTGACTGGGTATGACCTACGCCACCCAGTCTAGTATTTCTTAGTTGGCTACTAGGTTTACAGTCTATAAAACATTACCTTATGCTTTTCTTCAGAAAGAGCCTGTTTCCATTGTTTATGACCAAGGCCCCATAACCTCCCAAGCCTTAAATCTGGTATCTACTGTAAGACTTCAGCCACCAGCCGATTATGGCTCGGCAGTTAAGAGTACTTGTTGCTCTTGGCTTCCAACCATACAAGACTCCAGTTCCAGGATATCTACATCCTCTGCAGGAACCAGGCACACACATGTGCATACATGTAGGCAAAATACTCATGTATATAAAAAAAAAGGCCAAAGCAAAAACCATAAAGAGGGAGGGTCAGGAAAGTGTGAGAACGCTGCCAATACTTCTCTAGGTGAAAGAGCAATTTCTTCAGAAGGGAAAAGACGGGAAAATTTCTTGATAATATGGTTACATAATATAAGCTACCAAGATTGTTGGGACAGTTTTGGTTTTCCACAAGGATATTAAGATAGATACAAATATATAGACTGAATATAGAGATATATAAATATATAGACATACAGATAACCATAGATATGTTAATATGTAAAATTCTCTTTTCTGGAATACTTTTAAAACACAATAAAACTGACCAAAGGCATAACTCAGTTACTTTTAATAAACGAGCAATAAAGACTTTATTCATTTTCTCATAATTATGTATTATTCATATTAGCTTTCAAAGTAAAATATCTCAAAGAAAGTATCTGGTATGAAGCTAAACACAAGTATTTCTTCAATAATTAAGCAAATAACAAAATATTTGTGTGAAAAAATTTAAGGCCAGCAAGATGGCTCTGAGGATAAAAGTACTTGCTGTGCAAACCTTGAGTCTATGTTTCCAGCTAGCTTCAGCTATCAGCTGAACACAGCCCAGAGTTATCTGAGGGAGTTTCCATCAGACTGATCTACAGGATATGAGCATGTCTGTGGGTACTATCTCTAGACAGTGGTCTTGTGCTGTATAAGAAAGTTACTTGAGCAAAAGGTTAGACATCAGGCCAGTAAGCAGCTTTCCTCCATGGTTTCTGCCTCTGATCTGGTCTGAGCTCCTGACCTGACTTCCCTTAATGATGGCCTGTTGGGAAGTATAATCCAACAGACCCTTGCTTCTCCAAGTTGCATTTGGTCATGGTGCTGATTATCACAGCAACAGAAAGCTAACTGGGTCACCACAGAAGTAGAAAACCAATCCACAAAGCTGTCCTCTGACCTCCACATATGCCCCCATGGCATGGACACATAAACATCACACACAATAATAATAATAAATAAAAATGCTAAAAGTACTGATACAGTCCATAACATGGATGAACTCCGAAAACACTATGCTGAGAGGTCAGTCACAAAAGACCCCACACTATAAGATTTCATTTGTGTGAAATGTTCAGATCAGGCAAACCTATAGCAACAGAAAGTAGGTTACAGGTTTCCACTGTGAGGAGTAGAATGACTGTTAATGAATACGGTTATGATGGCAGGTCTATAGTCCCAGAGATGTGCTATGATCATTGAATTATATAGTTAAAATTCTTAAATATTTTAGTGTGTCAATGGGTATCATGTATGCACATACAATGTGTAAGTTGCTGTGGTAGCATGCAACTCATTGCTCAATAAAAACATTTTTAAAAGACAATATTCAATAACTACAAATTAGAAGGCTTGAATCTGAGGCCTACCTGGGAGACACAGTAAGACCCTATCTCATCATCCCCCAAATATTCTATAAAAAAATAAATCGACTACACATCATTTTGAAGGCCTTAGTTATTAATAAATCTGATTTAATTATGTGTGCTATACACCATGCATCTTAATTCAATCTCCTTAGCAATACCTAAAGCAACCATAAACCGGCACAGACCTATGATCTAGTTGCTTGGGAGGCTGACATAGGAAGGTCACAACTTCCAGGTCTGCCTGGGATACAGAGTAAGTTCAAGATCAGCCTGGGCAATTTAGACTTTGTCTCCACATAAAAAGTAAAAAGAAGACTAAATATAGCATTTGCCTAGCACGAGGTCCTAAATTCAACCTCTGGATTAAAAAATGAGAAATAAAAAGTAAAATTCACTCACATGTTTTTATTTTTTTTATTTATATTTGTTCATTTTGTTGTTGTTAAGACAAGGTCTTGTTATGTAGTCCTGGCTGGCCTTGAACTTGAAATCCTATTTTAGTCTCGCAATTACTACGATGCACATGCGTAGCACAGGCCCAGTTTTATTCACTTATTTCTAATGAACATCAATATCTGTAAAGAGAAATGAGGCTTACTGATCAAGCTTCTGTACATTTACCGTCATGGATGCCGTGAGAAATGGCACATGTATGTTACTTAGGGTGATGTAGGATTATGAGCTTGACTAGCCTGGGCTATCTTACAAGACATGAATGAATGAATGAATGAATGAATGAATGAATGAATGAATGAATGAATGTACAGAATACACATGTATTTACTCTTGAGATACTTCAATATTTGGAAATAACAGGAAAGGACTGCCAGTCCTTTGTAAAGGAATGCAATTTTACGAGTATAAAACAATGATTATCCAAGACTTTGAACACTGATCTAAAAGCAGTGTACTTTTCACTGAGCTAGCTAACAATTTCACCAGAGAACATACATTGACTAACTGTCTTTCAATTCTAAAGTAAAGGCAAGAAACTGAAACATTGAAAGCTAAACAAATATTCCCCGGCCTCTGCAAACAACTTAAGGAGAAGTCACATAACACCTTCAACTTTTACAGTGTCATATACAAGAGGGAGAAATGTGTTATAGATGGAACTGTCAGATTATGGTTAAAAATAAACAAAGTCTTCAGCATAGCTCTTTAAAGACAATAAAATCCAGCTAATTCTTTAAAATAGTCTTATTCATTATTGGGAACTTTTGCTTTCATATGCAATAAATATATTCCATCAAGGCAACAAAGATGACACTTTGTTGCCTTACCTATAGAATGTCTTCTTCCCAGCAAACGGCAAGCAGCTCAGACACTGTCTGTAGATCCTGTTCTCATCCGTTCCCAGTGCTGCCCCACACTGTGCACAGCCAGCGTATGTCATGTTGGGAAGGGAAGAGAAGATGCGCTTCAGAGAACTTCGAGCATTTAGAGCTATCTTCTGAGCTGCTGTGACAGGAAACACCAGCTCTGCAACCTTGGCTTTAATCAGAACCACTCCTACATTAAACAAGAAACATTACAATTATCAGAGCCAACAGTAACTTTAGTTGATACCAAACAGCAGGCAATGTGTTTCATTTACACTCACTTAGTGTATAGGCTACACCAGGGTCTTGTTCTTGGAATTCATCCCTTCCTGGAGAATGTCAACTCACACTGAGAATATGATGGAGGCGTTGCCCGCATCTGAATGAGTCCGAGTAACCATTCAAAAAGGAATGGATGGAGGGCGGGCATGGTTTCTTTTGCCATTCACTTTAACCTCAAGCATGTTAACTCATGTAACAACTCATAATTCATTTATCCACTAAATACATACGCTGAATACCTACTACGATCTTTTGATCCTAACCTTTTTTGCCTTTTTGAATGCTAGTATAGCCTATGAACCTATGAGAATATTACTCTCCTGTCCATACTCAATTAAAGGTGTCTTTAAGCTGGCAGACTTGTTTTGCTGCTGCTGCTGCTGCTGCTGCTGCTGCTGTCGGTCATTAAAACAAAATATCCGACACAATGTAAAGGCAGAGAGGTGTATTTGGGAGCAAGGCTTCAGAGGTCTCCGTGCAGGCGAGAGGATACAGCAGGGCAGCTCCCACCACGGCAGCCAGGAAACAGGGAGAAGGCTGCCGCCAGCTGCAGTTTTCCGTTCCCCTTTCTACCACCTGGGCCCCCAGCCTACAGGATGCTGCCACCCGCAGTCAGAACAGGCCTTCTCCCTTGGTTAATTGTCTTTAGAAACACCCCACAGACACATGCAGAGCTACACCTCACTAAGTTCCTAGTCCTTTATCCAATGAAGTTAGCAATCGAGATTAACCATCATGATCCTCTTACAAATTATAGAAGGCATCATGTTAGGCCCTGTTCGGTTTTCTGGCTATCTCTTTTGGAATTCAATAGTGGTGACTCTACTTAATTCGCCTTAGTTTCCTGGGGTTGTGAGATGCTTTCATCATTTCTTCTACTCAAGCCACAAACCTGTACATGAGTTAGTAGGAGTGGGTAGCGGCCACATAATAAGCTGCAGCAGACTCAACATTGCACTTTTCCATAGACATGTTCAATCACACACAAAAATTGGGAAATGCAATTCTTTCAGAAGACTTTTCATAATGTCCTGTAATTCTATAAATTTGCATACCTCTTTCAAAAATTGAGGTCACACATACTCCTGGCATACAGTTCCTAACACTCTAGGTATCTCAGAATGGTAAGAGTATCTTTTGTATTTCAGAATCTGAGATGATGTGGGTCATGAAGCTAGTGTCTAGGCCCCTCGGGTATCTTGACTCAGAATGTGTGGCCAGTATAAAGTAGAGACAGAACAATTCCCAGAGCTCCCACAGGGATGGGAACAGCGTCTTTAGCACAACTCACAGAGCACTGGCAAACCCACACACTTTACTGCACAGGAAAGTTTTGGCATTAATGGTCCACATTGGTGAGGGGAGGGGAATTCTCAATTTCCATCTTAAATAAGAAAAAGGAAAACCCAAGTAGGCAGAAAAAAAAAAGTAATACAGATCAGAACAGAGGTAAATAAAAAGGAAAACCGAAAAATCACTGAAACCAAAAGGTGATTGCAATCAATAAAATGAATAAAAATAGAAAACAAAGAGACACAAATTACTAATACCAGCTAAGATCAATAGCATTACCTGTTCTATCAATATTCAAAAGGATAATAAGAGAACGACTTGTCAATAATCAGTGCATATCAATAATTTCTGCTATGTCAATAATTCAAATGAACACATTTCTTGAAAACTAAAAACCAAAATTCACCCAACAAGCAGATAATCTTAATACCTCTATATCTATTAAATTTGTTGAATTTATAGTTAAAACCTTTCAACAAGAAAAACTTCAGAGCCTAGGATGGTGGCATACATCCTCAGTCCTAGCCCTGGAGTAGCCAAGGGCAGGAGGATCATGAGTTGAAGGTCAGGGTAAGCTATATAATGAGATCTTGTTTAAAGATAAAAGCATCATTATACATAAAAATTAGGTGATCCTTAATATTAAAAGAAAAACTCAGAGAGTTAGATTCAGAAGACTAATATATCAAAATCTGTTTCAGCTATTTGTAGAGATCTACATTTCATTTTCTTCCTTCTTTTTCTCTTTGGCTTTTCAAGATAGGGTTTCTCTGTGTAGCCCTGGCTGTTCTGAAACTTGCTCTGTAGACCAGGCTGGTCTTGAACTCAGAAATCCGCCTGCCTCTACCTCCAGGGTGTTGGGATTAAAGGTGTGTGCCACCACCACCTAGCTACATTTCACTTTCATATCTAATTATATATATTCTACATCTCACAAATGCTAGCCTCTTTCCTTATACTAAAAATATAAACATTTTTATGTATATAAAGATTGTACCTGAATACTTATCCTTTAGGTGAGTTGCTAAGTCTGATGTCTTGACATAGGAGGGTATATTTTTTTGAAATTTTGCTTTAAATGAAATTGCTCTTGTATCATCATCAAAGAGGCATTCACAGGATGACCACGGTGTTGTATGCAGCTCTAAGTTTTCTAATATGCAATTGCGTTGGACGAAAAGGTACTTAAATTCCCAAATACAATCTTAAACAAAAACAAACAAAAAGTCACCAAAATAAAAGTGTCTCTGCTCAGAATCAGACTAAGTAAACTAACCTAACTAAATCAGCTAAACACAGCTTCTATCACTAAAGAATTTGGTCCAAACAGATAAGATACAACTTTGTGTTAAAGCAATTGAATTTAAAAGCTGCAGACTTATATTTTGAGAGTGTCTCCCTATAGAGTCACCACTGGCTTAATTCTTATTTCTCTGCCTCTAATTACTTATGTGTACCACCACACCTGACTAGGTATCATTTTAATAATCTTTTCTAATGATTTCTTAAACTCCTAAACAACTGCCTTTTAGAATAGCACATTCTCATTTTAAGATATATAGTTTAAAACTAGTTTTTTGTTATTGTTTAAATTTATTTATTTATTTACTTACTTATTTATATTTTATGTGTGTGCTCTACTTGCCAGTAGAGGGCATCAGATCCCACTATAGATGGCTTGAGCCAACATGTGGTTGCTGGGAATTGAACTCAGGACCTCTAGAAGAGCAGCCAGTGCTCTTAACTGCTGAGCCATCTCTCTGGCCCCAAGTTTTGTTTTGTTTTGATTTTTTAAAGAATATTGAAATGGATGTATTCTAATTCCCTCAGTAAGAACTGATTTTTGTTGTTTTTTCTTTGTTCAGAACTGACAAATAAGTCAACAAATCTATATAGATAGCATCATTAGATAAACATTATTAGATGGGTGCTGTGAACTGAACCCAGCTCCTCTACCAACAGCCTATAACTGGTAATCAGAAAAAAATTGTGCTAAGAAATCTCCTTTTGCTTTAGTATAATGGGGGGGGGGAAGTTACTCCACAAGATATAATCCATCATTAAAAGAAGTAAAGGCAAGATTCAAGGCAGGAGTATGAAGCAGAAACCAATGTGAGACCACTGTTTACAGAACACGTTTCCTATACAGAACAGGCCAACACGTTTAGGAATGGTGCCTTTCACAGGTATCAATTAGCAATCAAGAGATTGTCAATGGGGCAATTCTTCAATTGAGATTGTGTCTTCCCAGAGTGTGAAGTTGTTTTTTTGTTTGTTTGTTTGTTTGTTTGTTTTTGAGACAGGGTTTCTCTGTGGCTTTGGATGCTGTCCTGGAACTCACTTTGTAGACCAGGCTGGCCTCGAACTCACAGAGATCCACTTGCCTCTGCCTCCCGAGTGCTGGGACTAAAGGCGTGCGCCACCAACGCCCGGCCAGAGTGTGAAGTTGAATGAAGATTAGCCATCACATCTTTCCTTTAGGTTATCTTAAACATTCTACAAGCTTTTCTATGGGTCAAAAATATGCTGACTACCATTATATGTTAATTATATGCAGATATTTTACAATACCTATGATTCCAACAGTAACATCAACAATTTGATATCATATTATCATTTTCTTTTTTAAATTTTTACATCCCAACCACAGTTTCTCCTCCATCCATTCCTCTTAGCTGCCTCCACCTCCTGCTTTAGTATAATTTTGAAGCTGAATATACAACAGAGAACATAATTATTTGAAAAGAAAGTCTATACTGCTGTTGTGTAAAAATCAAAACTGTTGGGCTGTTGGAAGAGTGCCCAATATACACGAGACTGGGTTTGACACCCAGCACTGCATAAACTGAGCATGAGAGTGCACACTGTAATGCTAGCCACTTGAGAAGTAAAGGCAGGAGGACCAGAGATTCAGTATCATTCTCGACTACTTAGTGAGCCCGAGGCCAGTCTGGACCAGTGCCTGTCTCAATAACAACAAAAGTCAGTCCTTACTGTGGTTATCTGAATAGGTGCTATTGTGTCTAAATACCGTTCTGTTATTGTGATTCTAGTGAAGTTAGCTAAGTAAGACAGCTAAATTGCTTTATCAGTGAACTACTCATTATGGCAAACTTGAAGATGTTATAGTAGACAAACTGTGATGCATTTCCACACCTGAACTGTGGATTTAGGATGTAACTGGATTAAAAATGTTCACATAGATATAACTGGGACTTTGGATAATATGCAATCATAAACTGAGGTTATCTGCATTACTCTATTTAATTATTTATGTTATAAGAGTACTTTATCATAATTTGTTATGTATTTGAAATGGTATTTCTTTTTAAAACAACTGCTTGAAAATGGCATTTGATTCTGTATAGATTATTTTATATTCTTTTTTATTCTTTTGTTTGTTTAACTAATTATTCTTTTGTTTGTTTGTGACAGGGTCTCCTCCTATAGTCCAGGCTGGCCTCAAAATACCTATGTAGCCAAATATAGCCTTGGACTCCTGATCCTTGTACCTCTATCTCCCAAGTGCTAAAATTACAAGCACATAACACCAGGCACAGTCCCAATACACTTAAGAAACATAATTTATGTTGCTAGTGTGCCCTCATTAGAATCTAATCTGTGACCAGTATGTGCTGCATACAAAGCAATGCACATTTCAAAGGAATGAAAATGTGAAATGTCTTAATACTCTTCTCCAAAACAACAGCTCCATTACTGTTAGTACTGACTAATAACTACTTGGTGATTATTTCTGATTGCATGAGCTAAGTCTGTTCTCTTTAAGAGTATGTGAAAGCCACTGCCTCCTATAGAGGCTGACATGGAGATGGTCTCAGGAACTGCTAAATGAAGAAAAAGAAAACTAATAGTTTCTGAAAGTACAATCAGTTACCTAAATGATCCTTCAGAATTGTAATTTTTCTATTAAAAGGAATTGTCTTGAGGTATTAAAGCAGATGTCAAAACTTTAAAATGATGAGGTATAAATAATTTAAGTGTAATTAGTGAATTCAGTGAAAGCAATTTATATCACAATTCCTGGATGTATAAGTTTTCAGTATTAACTATGAAGCCATAGGAATTATCTAGAGATAACAATAATTCATCTTCCGTTGCCACATTGAGAGGGGGGGACAAAGAAAGAGAGGAGTGATGCATTCTGCCCAACGCCACTCTACCTCTGACCTACATTTTGTTTAGCATGCAATGGACTCGTGTTCACGGCTGAGATAGAATGGTCAGTGATCATGTCTGTCATCGATACGTTTGTCAAATTTCACAACTGGACAAACATCTGCCACTATTTGATCCTAACATAAAAGTCAGACTTATCTCAAATCCTGGTTACAGGCTATTAATGATTAAGCGACTATGTGACAGATCTACATCCAGATAAGCGCTTGATGTCTAAGTTTGGAATGCAACATTAACTCATTCAAGTACAAAATAATGAATCAGTTGATCAATGTCTAATTATTTTGCAGAGTAAGATAACTAAAAAAAACACTAATTAAACTCTCTCTGGTTGTTAAAATCAGAATTTCTCAGCAGTGAAGGAAGACATTGCACTAATTTTAAAACATCCCTTTTAATTTAACGCATCATGAATTATTAACTTGTGCTTTTAAACAATGTGCCACTGGGTCATATTTTTAAGCAAGCATTCTATAATGGCTAAGAGCTCACATTTTTACCTAGAATAAAAACCCAAAAACAGGAAGTAATTAATTCAATAAAATTGTAACTTAAAAAGATTTAATGTGATTGCCCTAACATTTGCCTTCTGACAGAGAGGAATTTGTTTTTATGAGCACTCTGGCTGGGAAAAAAAAAAAACTACAGACACTTTTCCATAATTAAATTTGTAAAGAACATCTTTGAGGAGCTTCAAAGATGGCTCAGGCTGGGCGGTGGTGGCACACGCCTTTAATCCCAGCACTCAGGAGGCAGAGGCAGGCGGATCTCTGTGAGTTCGAGGCTGGGCTGGACCAACAACCTCCAAAACAATACAGAGAAACCCTATCTCGTAAAACCAAAAAAAAAAAAAAAAGAAAAGAAAAAAAAAAAGATGGCTCAGAAACTAAAAGCATGTATTGTGATTGCAAAAGACCTAATGTTACCAAGAGCCACCAGTCACATTAGGCAGTTAGTTGTAACTCCAACTCTAGGGGATCTGATGCCCCTTTCTGAACTCCAGAAACACCTGTTCTCACATGCAAATAACCACAGACAGACAGAGAGACAGACAGACACACACACACACAAACTCACATACAAAAAAATTTAAAAATAATAAAACCTTGTTTTCTAAAAGAAGAACATTATTTGAAGGAAATAAAGTTTTTACTAATGACCTGATGTAGTAGGCATGAGAATATTCAAGCCTTTATTTTGTCACAATGAATTGCTCCTAGATAACTTAATTGCTATAAAGATAAAGTTATAGCAAGATAAATTTGCAGAGGAGCATTCAGTCACTATTATTTCAAATGTTATAATCTCTTCAAAGACTCTGCACCTCAGACAAATAAACATTAATCATTTACCAAGGTATAAATAGGTTAAATGCTTTTTTTTCCAGTGTATTTACCTTTTTTCCTTTGAAGCTGAGTATACCAGGCTGCTCCAGGACCCCATAATACAAGCACATAATGTTGACCTTGAACCTGTTCCACAGTTAACAGAATTTTCCTTTGCTTCTGTCCTCTATAACTATATAATGCCTCTGCGAAAGGAAAAGGGACATTCTAGTTGGTATTGGCCTGCTTGGGTGACAACATAGTAACACAGTGGTGATCAGCTAATGTACTAAGATGGTCTTGTATAGTTTTGATAAGCTAAAATTAAAGAGGCACTCACAATATTTACCTGTCAATACAGTGACATCCACTACTCTGAGTACCGCATGGACTAAGATATCAGGCTGCAGCTGCTCCAATTCCACAAACTCTACGGTGTTCATTTTCTGATGCTGCCTCTGAGGCAAATCTTTGAGGTAGGAATGTTTTGAAGACACATATGCCAGTAAGTCCTGAAGTATAAAACTGGCAACTATATTGGAATCTAAGAAACACAAAAACATGGACAAAGAAAGGCATCATATTTTGCTGGTAATCACAATTATGAAAACAACAGCTGTGGTAGTTTGAATAAGAATGGCCCTAATAGGCTTACATATTTGAATGTTCAGTCATTAGAGGGTGGCAAACTCTTATAAAACAAAGCATTTAATTAGGACTTGCTTACAGCTTCATACTCCATTATCACCATAACAGGGAGCATGGCAGCACACAGGCAGACATGGTGCTGGAGAAGTAGCTAAGAGTTCTACATCAGGATCTGCAGGCAGCAGGAAGAGAGAGCTACTGGTCCTGGCTTGAGTTTTGAAACATCAAACCCCATCCCCAATGACACACTTTCTCCAACAAGGCCACCCATCCTAATCCTTTTCAAGAAGTGTCACTCCCTGTGTAACACATGCTTAAATGGGAATCAGGGAGGAAGAAGCTTTGTGTATGTGGCTGCTATGCTGTGTGGAATTCCGTTGGGAAGAGAAGTGTGACCACTTTATAGAATCCATGGAAGGCAGGTTCAGGAGAGTCTGTTAGGTAGTTTGTAGGATATTCCCGAGTGATGTACTAGGAGCTTGTTGATAAAGGACTGTTGTCATGAAAGCTGGGAAAGACGGGATAAAATTAGACTAGAGATCTGGGGGCCAACTAGATAGTTTCAGGATCATAGAAGAATTAAAACTTAATGAGTGCTCACTTCAGCAGCACATATACTAAAACTGGAATGATACAGAGGTGATTAGTATGGCCCCTGCCTGGTCTACAGAGGAAGTTCCAGGACAGGACAGGCTCCAAAGTTACACAGAGAAACCCTGTCTCAGAAAAATAAAACAAAAAATGGAAAAGCCGAGGTTGGTGACAACAGATTGGGAACAGAATGAGATTTTTGGAGGTGACAATAGTTTCTATTGTCTAACAAAATTAATCTTTATTTTTTTGGTCTGTGCTGAGTAAAGAATAAGCTACATATCTTATAGAAATTAATGTTTTATACGTACTTATATATCATAACACAAAACCCACTTTACAGAGATATTATGTACAATGTGAAAACAACTTCCTGGAGCCTAGTCTGCAGAGACCGGCTGATTTACTGGTTAGGGTTTCAACTGTAAGAACAGTCACTTAATTACTCAGTCATAATATCATTTAAACGATTTTAGTCTTCCTCTCTCAATGTTTAATTTTTAAGATTATTTTATATATATGACTCTTTCTGTGCACCACATGAGTTCCTGGTACCCAGAGTGTGTCAGATCCCCTGGAACTGGATTTTTAGATGGTTATGAGCTACTATATGGATGATGGGACTCAAACCCAGGACCTCTATACAAAATGCACTCTTAGCCACTGAGCCAAATTCTCCAGACCCTATTTTTCATTTTTTTAAGGTAAACTTTACAACTTTACATGCAATAAAATATACATATTTTAGAAGCACTGAACCACAGATGGCTCCTCGGGTAAAGGAATTTGCTGCCATGCCTTATGCCCTGAGTCCTAACCCCAGGACTTATATGATGAGGGGAGAAGCAACTCACATGAGTTGTATTTTGAATTTCACACAGGTAGTACCACCCCCATGCAAACTAACTAATTAAATAAAATCTTTAAAAATATGGATTAATGAGCTTTGCTGATCAAATTTTAATTCTCCTGAAGAAAAGGGAGATATGTTCATAGATTTATGGTCAAAAGAAGATGCTACCCAAATATATTTGGCTATTTTTAGAAACTAAGAGTCTATAAGCTAATTTACGATTTTTTAATTTCTCCCATTAACATGCCCATCTACATCTACTCCATCTGCTACGCCAACACCTAATTATTGACTCACTCTCCAGAGGACCATCCACTGAGCGGCAGGCGGTACACCGGGTGCTAAGGATATGGAGGAGAATCACATCACAGTCTCTCACAGAGGGTTACTGATTGACCCAGAGACAGCCGTGACAAACACTCAGCACGGAATGTAAACTGAGGACAGGGCTGAATCTCAGTCACCTGTTTACCTAGCACTTGGGTGGCACTGGGCTCTATCCCTGGAACCATAAATGGCCTGGAGAGACAGATGAAGGGGGAAGGGAGGGTTAGGAAGTGGAAGAAACGGTCCTGAAAACATTTACACAGAAAAAGGAACTACCTAGAAAACAGTTGGCAAGAATCTCCAGAGAATAAACTGGAAAAAAAAATGGATAACAGTTATGTGAAGAGTTAAGTGAGGGCTGAAAATCTCTAGTACAATCGCAAAACCAAAAAACTACAGAGTCTATCCCAGAGGCATTAGTGTGGTCTGGGACGCTCCCTCCTCACAGAGGGGTGACTGGAGTTATGCTTAAGACAAATAGACTCAGAAAATAGACGCTGTGCTATCAGTAGCAACTATCTTAAAAGAGAAATAAAGAGCCAGGAGGGAACAAAAGTTGTACATGACAACAGCAGGGATAGAAGGGATGCCCCAGGAAAACCCTCTGCTCTCAGCATTTAACTAGAGCATCTGCAAGACCCTGATTTAAAAGGATCTCTGTAGCTTCAGTAGCTCGGTGCTTAGACCCTCGGTGAATCACATTCCTGGGACTAGACTCTGAATCCTGGCCAAGAGAATACTTCTAAATCGAGGAAAAGAAACGGGATCAAAACTCCACAGCTCAAGCTGGAGAGACGCTCAGTGGTTACAGGAACTGGTTGCACACTCAGGGTAGCTCACGACGACCTGCAATTCTTGTATCTACCTACCATGCTAAATTCTCCCATTAATTCTTACAAGTTTTTCAAAGAAAGTCTTAATAAACAGCCCATCATATCATTTATCAAAAATGTTTTATTTCATTCTTTCTAATCTGTATGTATCTTTTCTGTATTTTAGCACACTGGTTAATGTCTCTAAAATAATGTTAGTAAGAGTGGTAACACAGCCGGGCGTTGGTGGCGCACGCCTTTAGTCCCAGCACTCGGGAGGCAGAGGCAGGTGGATCTCTGTGAGTTCGAGGCCAGGCTGGTCTACAGAGTGAGTTCCAGCACAGCCTCCAAAACAATACAGAGAAACCCTGTCTCGGAAAAAAAAAAAAAAAAAAAAAAAAGAGTGGTAACAGTAGTATCCTACTCTAATGCCCAAACTTAAAGAGCAAATTTCCATTTTATTTTCAATTTTGATGTTTTGTTTGCCTTGCCTTTTGTGGTAGTTTTAATAAGGATCGCCCCATAAGCTCATATATGTGGATGCTAAGTCATAGGAGAGTAGCAGTCCTTAGAAGAATTAGGAGGTGTGGGGCCGTTGGGGTGGGTGTAGCCATATTAAAAGCAGTTTATCACTGGGGCTGGGTTTGAGGTTTCAGAAGTCTAAGCCAGGCCCAGTGGCTCTCTCTTCCTGCTGCCTGCAGATATGGATGTAGAGTTCTCAGCTCCTCTCCAGCACCACATCTGTCTGCATGCTGCCATGCTCCCCAGCATGCTACAATGGACTAAGCCTCTGAACTGTAAGCCAGCCCCAATTAAATGCTTTCCTCTCCAAGAGTTGCCATGGCCATGGTGTCTGTTCACAGCAACAGAACACTAGCTAAGTAAAACAGGTTTTATGAAGATTCTTTCTATGACACAAACATTTCTCCCTGTTTCTAATGAATGGATATTGAATTTCATCAAAAATATTTCTTTATACCTATCGGCATGATCATAAGTGGCTTTTTAAAAACGTCATGTTTGCGGGCTAGGGAGCTAGCTCAGTTGGTAAAGTGCTTTCTTCCCAAGCATAAGGACCCGAGAAATCCCCTGTAACCATATTAAAACCCCAGGCATGTGGCATGTGCTTGTGATCCCAGTGCTGGGAAGACTAGAGACAGGAGGATCTCTCATGCCTGCTAGTCAGCCAGTCTAGCCTAATTTGTGAGCTCCAGGCCAATAAGAAACCCCCATGTTCCAGCTGAGGGTGTGGGGGTGGAGGGTAGTGGCACACCTTTAATTCCAAAATCTGGTAGGCAGAAGCAGGCAGATGTAGATGGAAGCTTCTGTCCTGCCGGGTCCCACTGCCATTTAGTCCCATATAAACACACAGAGGCTTATATTAATTATAAACTGTTTGGCCTATAGCTTAGGCTTCTTATTGACTATCTCTCTCAATTAGTAATTCATTTCTATTAATCTGTGTATCTCCATGTGGTCTTGACTTACCAGTGATGCCTGGGCCTCTTTCTTCCTTGGCAGCCACATGGTACCCCTCTTGCAACTCATTCTCTGCATGTCTCAGAATTCTCCTAGTCTGGTAGCCCCTCCTATCCTTCCTACCCAGGTACATCCTGCCTGTCCATTGGTCAAAACAACTTTATTCATCAACCAATAAGAGAAACATATATCCACAGGATACAGAAAGACAACCCCCATCAGGCAGATCTCTGTGAGTTTTGAGGCTAGCTTGGTCTACAAAGCTAGTTCCAGAAGCTACTACTGTTTAAACAGAGAAACCCTTTAAGAATCCCAAAGAAAAAGGAGATAAAACAGACAAACAAATCATGATTCACAGAAGACGTATAGCATTTGTGAGGATTCACCCAGAGTTGCCTTCTAGCCTCCATATCCAGGTAAATATTCACACATGTACCTAACCCCTCCACATGAACACATACATACATACATACATACATACATACATGCATGCATGCATTAAAAAAACTTTTTTTGAGACAGAGTATTTCTATGGAACCCTGGCTATTCTGCAACTCACTATGTATGCCTCTCCCTTAAAAGCGTGTACCACCACGCTGGGCTTTTAAGTTTTTTAATTAATGTTAAATTTATAAAAATAGTTGTAAAAATACAAAGTTCCCTTATATGCTCTAATGTGAATTTCATATGTCATACAGTAAGCTTTTTTACTTTATTATTCTATTAATAATAACACAATAAAATATATTAAATGTAACTGGAGTTACAAATGATTGTGAGCCACCAATATGGGTTCTGGGAATGAAGCCCACGTTCTTTGGAAGAGCAGCAGGT